TTTCCCAAATGGAAGGAATGCCTTGCTCTTGAGGGTTCTGGGAGATTAACCCCTTTTTGAGTCTTCTCACTGCTCAGAAGAGATGGGCTTTGAGTAACCTTTGGTGGCTCCGTCACCCAGGGGAAAAGGTGACAAATCTGTGGGTGGCAAAGCAACAGTGTAGTAAAGTTGCAAGTGAACATATTCTCTGACCTAGCAGTTCCATTCTTAGACATACATACATACACATGTACATACATATTTTGCATATACATATGTGCCCCAGAAATGGGCAAGAAAGTTCATATGAGAAATGTTTGTAATAACAAGAATTGGCAGTAGTCCAACTCTCTGTCCACAGCAGTGGATAAGTACATTTTGGTCTGTTCATGTGATGGAATTCACGTCAAAGTGAAAATGAAAGCATCACAGCTACATACAAAAAAATCCCAGGATGAATCTAAATAACGTGGAGTGAAAAAAATAAATCGCAGTAGAATATGCACAGTGTAATTCCATTTTGATAAAGTTTGAAGACATACAGAGCAGAAGAATATCTTCTTTGGGGATACATGCATGTGGTAAGATCATAAGGAAAAGCAAAGATATGAGAGATGCATAATTCAAAATGTTGGTTACCTCAGTGGGAAGGGAAGGCAGGCGATTGAAAAAGGGTACACTGGGGACATCAGAGGCAAGGGTAATACTCTCTTCTTATGCTGGGTGGTGGGCACTCAGGTGTTCTTTGTATTATCTATATAACTGTGTGTTTGTGTGTGTATTTTATAAATAGTATTTTACCTATTTGAAATTTGATAATAATAAAGGCAATACCAGTCAGAGGAGAGACTGACCTGGTAGAAGATACAGGTATACATTTAGAGTTGGAGAAAGGAAGGGAGGACACTGTTTTCTCAACTAGGGGGGAAAATGAAAGGTGGGGAAAGGGGGAAGGATGGTTTTAATAATGCATTAAAAACTCTTCATAGGACAACCCGAGAACTAGAAGAATAAAAGTTGCTGAAGATTTGCCAAGTTGGGTAGCGGTTCAATCATCTGACTACTTTTGTTTTTCAACTCTTAGAAATTCGGAGAGGGGAGGTGGTGTCTTGTTTAGTAGTAGATTTAATATTCACAGAGAGTTAAGATGACTCACCATGTTTTGAAAACTCCACAGTTTACCAAAGAAGCAAAAATAGGTTCTGTCTGGGCTGCAGCTCTTTAGAGATTTCTGACACTGCTGTTCCTTGGGTTTCCCAGGCCAGCCTTCTGAGGAGGTGAACTGTCGCTTTAGAGCTTGAAAATTGATCTCCAGGGCTTGGAATTTAGAGTCCCTGATGCCTTTTATATGGTGAGGGAGACTCACCTGGGTTTTTTCACTTCTTTCTGAATTAACTACAGAAGTAATTCCCCGTGGCATTGCTGTTGCTGTTTCTTCTTAGCTGCTTTCTCTCCCCCAGGGCTTGGCCAAAACAAAGAAAGGAAAACCTCCGAGCTTGGCGCACCTTACATTTCTGAATGTGAGGTTTTCGTTCCTGTACTTTTCTGGTCAGGAGAATTTTATGTCCTTCTGACTGCTTTGTCTTCCTTGTTCCCTGTCCTTGAAAAGCAGAGTCAATTTAATTCTATCTTGCATCTGATACGTGGGATCATAATTTGCCACTAACCGTTCATTGCTTTTCTTTATCTGCTGCAGTCTTCCTCCTTGCAGATGTGTTTCTGATTCATTTTGGGGATCTTGCTCCCTGTTCAGATCTTGTATTTCAAAGCAAATTATATCTCAGTAGAGTTTTAAAACAGACATAAAATGATTTATCCTCAGGAAAACATTCAAATTTATATGCTACACAGTTTGACAGAATTGTGATTTTATTACTTCTTACATTTATAACTTCTAAACCTTTACTATAGAAAAGAACAACTGCTGTTTTATCGTGGTTGTAATAAAGTATCATGTTTTCTTTTACCAGTATTCGGAATGTGATAGGTAAGTGATAAAAGCACTTAGACAAAGAATCCAAGCGCCAG